CTTTTGTCTGTTGTAACACAGGTTGATGAGACAAGGAGCTTTATTTTGACTTTGGTGGAGAGACCACGCGATCAGAGGGCAGCACTCGAGAGGATCCAGCAATGTGTTGTCTGCTTTGGTAACTCAGCTGCGTAATAATTGCAATTTCTAATGTGCAGGATATGTTGATGTTGATCTACACATCTCTGCATGGTGTCTGTTACAAAGGAACCAGGGAGTAATATCTGATTTTTATATGATATAAAATAAGCAGGTTAATAGTTTCTATCAATATATGGGGATGCCTACTATCTTGGGCTTATCTCATATCTTGTATTCTAAGATCCTTGCAGGCCAGCTCCAGGTTGTCCCGACAGCAGTGCAGCACCTGTTCCGAAAGAAGTGGACATGGACCTGGCATTGCTGGTAGATGGTTCTCGCAGCATGCAAGAAGATGAGTATGAGGGAGTGAAACAGGTTCTGAGCACCCTGCTAGACCAGCTTGCAGTGAGCCGCCAGCCTAGCACAAATGACAGACAGGCTAGGGTGGCTCTTTACCAGCAGAGCTCCACCTATACTGAGGCGCAAGCACCAGTCAAGCAAATATTCACCTTCCAGCAGTACCAGGAACGCGACCTGATGAAGCGGAGCATCTTCCAAAACCTACAGCAGACCGGTGGATACTCCAGACTAGGCCATGCTCTGGATTTTGCGATCACGAATGGCCTTCTCACAGTCTCCAGGCCCCGCAAATACAAAATGTTGCTGGTTATTGTTGGAGATGAAACAGACTATTTAGACCAAGACATACTGGACCTGATGTCCAGAGCGGCAAAGTGTGAGGGTATAGTGACCCTCGTCTTGACAGTTGGGAATCGTTTCAACAGCACTCAGGTGGAGGAGCTTGCTAGTATTCCTATAGAGCAACACATAGTCCACTTGAGCCATGTGAAGCAGCAAGAGCAGGAGTATGCCCAGCGCTTTGTGAGGACTTTCCTCCAGACTCTGATCAGTAAGGGAATTTAAGCTCTCCAGAAAAAATACTACCATACCACCAAAGTACTTGTAAGATATTGTGTTACATATATATTGTACAGTGTAGGTGTGTGTTAATGCGCTTTCAGCATATTGTCCTCTATGAATACAGAGACAATGAACGTCTACAAGACTCAACTGCTTAGAGGAGTGTGTGACACTGTTGAGCGTGACCTGAACAGACGCCGAGACGGTGTTGGCATCTTTGAGACTGCAGAAAGACCTACCATTGAATGGTAATATATGACAAATCTCTTATCCTCTCCAAATCCCATGAACACCATTATTTGGTTTCAGTGATATTCTCTTTCTCAATATTTAATATTCTCAATATTTAATGTAGTAGAACACAGTCCTCAGGGCCCCCCCCAGACAGTTCACATTTTTCCATCAACCCTATCTGTTTTGAGTTAGGTTGGAGCAAAAATGTGGACTGTCTGGGGGGCCCTGAGGGCTGAGTTGAGTTAACACTGTATCATTCAGTACCTTTCACCTGCAAGTTGCTGAAAGACCACAAAAGTAATTTCATAACAGGTTGACTACATGAAGTATCCTTCCTCAGGTTTCCTTTACCAGCCACTGCTTACCCTGAGGAGGGGGAGGAGGAGGAGGTGGTGGAGCAGGAGGAAGACACAAGTTACATCAAAGAGACAGGAACCCAAGTGGAGAACCATTTGACCCCAGGTCGTGGAGATTCAAATGGTAAAGCAGTCCTTTTCAACAGAAGAAACATTTGGCTTTTGATACGTACCTTAATAACAACAACTATCATTTAATAATAATAATTTACAAATTTTAGAATTTTCTAGGTCGTATCCTTGAACATTTCTGAATGTTTTTAAAAAAAGAAAGGAAAGAGAGAAAAGAGAAGCATGAGTGTTCTTGCCTTTGTTTGTGATGAGTAGTGATTGCATACATGAACTCAAATGGCATCTTTGTGAGCATGTGCAGTGGAATTACTGTGCCCTGCATGTTCCCTGCATGTTCCAGTAGTAAGTGAGTGTTTTGCTTTCAGCCCAGTGTTTGCTGGATAAGGACATTGGCACCGTGTGCGGAGGCTATGTGCAAATGTGGTACTATGATAGTGTGCTCGGTGCATGCTCACTCTTCTGGTACGGCGGTTGCAACGGTAACAACAACCGTTTTAGAACGGAAATCGAATGCATGGAGACATGTAGCACATACAGTAAGTCATCTGTATCCCACAGTCATTACAGTATTATTACCAAAATAACAACTATGCCTAAAGCATTTCATTTTATCATTGGACAGTTGCTCTTGTTGCATGTGTAGTATATGTAGCCACTGCCACCACACATGGAAGTGACGATGGAAGTGGAGATTATGAGTGACATAGTTACAGGGGGAGAAGATAAATTAAGTACTTAAATACTTACACTTATTTATTTTCTTAAAAATCTCTAATATGGAAAATAAAATATAAAAATAAAATGGAATACAAAAAAAACTAAAGTAAATACAACAAATAACAAAAACATGTTATTCTGCACATAAAAAGGGATAAAATTACTTCAGGAAACCCTGTACATTTACCTGTTTTTTTGGAAGTGTAAAATGTTTTTTGTTATTCACATCTTTGTTTAGGCTCTCTAGTAGAAGAGATGACAGAAAATGAAACAAAAGGTGAAATGGGTTTTCTTTTTTGTTTGTTGATAATTGCAGGTCTTTCTTTTAAATCTAGATGTAAAGGTATTGATTTTTGGTATCTCTGATTTTCTCTTCCCACAGATGTGTGTCTCCTGAGGAATGATCCAGGACCCTGCAGATCTTACGAACTCAGATGGTTCTATGACACCCAGCAGAAACGATGCAGTCCCTTCTGGTATGGAGGATGTGATGGGAACGCTAACAGATTTGACACACAGGAGAAGTGTGAAGCCCGCTGTGAGACGCAGGACACTGCATAGTGACTCTCCAAAACACCACAAAATCCCATAAAATATTATCAAGTTACCCTCCCACTTTCTCCTGTTTGCATAGAATGTGATGACCCAAAAACATTTGAACAATGCTCTCTTCAAATGTCTCATTCCACCCAATTCATTCAGGTCAACCGGATCTACATCAAAGTTTTCACCTTGTTATGTCGTCCTTTACTGCACCTCTCAAGACAAAGTATTTTAAAATGCCAATGGTAATGTATTTGCAATGGCATTTTCATGGCTGTAACACTGAACATATGCTGTATTGTAATCATTGATGAGCTCTGAGCAGAGAGAACCATATTTTTCCTGAAAAAAAAATGAATACCTACAGTTATTGATAATGAGATTCAGCAAGGTTTTTATACCTTGCTGAATATTACGAATAACGGCAGGATTTTTCGGTGCTATCACATAAAATATTTTTTAATTTGTTTCACAGATGCACATTAACTCGAGGTTACTACATCAGTCTATCTTTACTATTTTGACCATATCATTAGTAACAAGGCACATTTCAGAATGCCTGTTTTGTTCACACAGTGCAGTTGATAAGCTTCAAAATGCTCAACATGATCCTAAAGGTGCCAATTCAGTATCAAAGTGAACCATTTTGAACTTTATCTTCACTGTGCAGTTTACTGCTTTTAATCATTCAGTCTGTTCATATTTTGTACAAATAAACCTGTGGACATAATTCACTCTTTGTGTCAATGATAATGAACCCATTTGCTGGTTATCTTTATTTTATAATACTGATCATCAAATCACAGTGATTGAATCCACAATCCTTCAAACTCGTTAGTACTACAGCGGCTTATATAATTGCCCTAAAATATCAGAAATCTGTTTTTTTTTTTTGACAGAAATCTGTTTTTTGATGGTTATCAGCAGTTGTTTGGCATGTATTTGCCTCACCTTGACCAGCTACATTACATTATGACATTTGTATTTTAGTAAATACACTTAATACACATATAAACATATAATACTGTTGCATTTAGTGGTATTGGTATTGGCCGCTTTTTCACAAACAAAAGAAATGGGCATCTTGTTCAGTCACACTCACACTTTATGTTCATGTGGGATCTTAAGATGTCAGAATCTGAGAATAAAATGAGCAGCATGCTGTTAATTGTTTCAGACAGTTCTAAGAACACAGTGTTTTCCCTAGAATGCTCCAGAAGACATGCTGCCATCTCACCAATCCCAATGGATTTGACTCCTCAGTGTACAATCTTTGTGTTTTTTGTGCTGAAATGCTAAACATTATGTGGTTGCTTTTATTTTTTTTCTAAACAATTTTGCATTTCAATTAGTAGCAGGCACGCTCACCAGCTCAGAAAGCTCCGGCATATCATACTCTCCAGGTTGCTGAGCTGCCGATGAGTTCAACGATTACACACCTTTGTTTTGGACCACATCAACATGTATACCTGCAGGGCAGAACAACAGAATTGCACACAGCTGGCCTGCACTCCCTCTGTTTTTCTCTTTCACTACATGGTTCATTCTACTGAATCGGTTCAGAGTTCAAAACACATTTGCACTTTTACCTGATTTGGACTTTAAACTAAAATGATTTTTGCTATAAATGATGCTATAATTATGTTTATGTTTATGATTATTAAAACAAATGATTAAACATTATTTTTGTAACTCAAACTCAAAACCACTAGCCAGTACATGGGCTGCAAACACAGCTTTGAACAGGTGTGCAGACAAAGTCAGAATATTCCTTATGAAACTGCAAACAAGTTTAATTAATTGCAAAAAACAGATAATAGAAAGTACCCTATAAATGAAGATTTTGTATATATTTATGATTATTTTACATACTTATTACTATCTAAAATAACGCATTGGCATTCAGTATGTCATAACAGTCATTGTAAATATCTGTAAATTGAAATATAATTTGCACAAACAGGTAGTCTCTGACTTTTGAAAAGCATTGTAGATCAGTAGATAAGCATCAATGTACTCAATGCAACTATGATATTCATTCTATTTAAAGTAAATAAATGTATCACCACCATACAGTTCTTTTTTCATTTTTATATTTACTCTATTAAGATTTTGCACATATAAACATGTGGACAAACACACTTTGTATTAATCATTATGAACAAATCTGTTGATTATCTTTATTTTATAATACTGAAAACACAATGATCAAATCAGATCCACTAACCTCATCAGCACAATGTCGCAACTACAGAGCAGCTGCTTATAAATATGCACTAGTACATCAGAAATTTGCTTATCTGATGGCTACAAACCATTGCTTGACATGTGTTTGACTTACTGTGCTCTGCTACACTGTGTGATCTTCACATTTACATTTTGCACATGCTCACAAGAAAACATAACATACACTTGTGTAGTAGTAGTAGTAGTATTAGTATTAACTAGCTGCTTCTCCACAAGCAAAAGAGACAGTTAGCATTCTGTACAATCACACTCAGTGTTCACATGTGATGTGATGTGATACTGAGATGTACATTTTACGTCACCACTGTGGCTAGACTTCCATGTAGAGGGCATTAAAGGTCAGTCTCTTACTTCCACACTTTTACAATGCCATCTCTAGAGGAGGTGACTATAAAGCCCTGGGTGGTCTGGAAGGTGGCAATGTCAGTAATGATGTCGTGATGGCCAACAGGTAGCGACTCTGGGCCTCTGCGAGGGGCATCCTCCGTGGAACCACTCTTCTGCTTGCTGTGGATCTCCTAGTGAGGCAGGACGGAACAGAATATTAGGTACAGCAACCCTCAATAATCCAGTAATAGCAAAGACGAGGCAGAGAAAATCCACAGAAAATCAAAGTGTCAAACCTGCACCACTTCGGTTCCTTCAATGATCTTGCGGTTGTAGAACACAGAGGGGCAGTGAAGGGAGTCATTGGCCCCACCAGCAACAATATAGGATCTTTCTGGATAGGCAAGGTCCCAGAATCTGAGGGTATAATTGATGATATAAATTGTCTCAAATAATTCTGAGAAGGCAGTTTTTTCCTTAGTCTCACAGGCAAGAAATGAACTCGTAATGGGCTAAATGTAGGTGGGAATAAACTGAATGAGAAATTTAAAAACTAATCCAAATTTATTGGGGTTTTCTTTCCTTTTTTTGATCATGCCCCTGGTATGTGTATTTACTCCTTTGAGGTGGCTACTGCCACTGACTTGTCTGTGTATTATGTGTCAGTTCAAATAGAAAAGGAAAAAAGGGCCTTGAGCCCTTTGAATTTTATATTAAATTAAAAAGAGTGAATGACAACTGTTTGGAAGAATGGCACTCCATATCTGAACTGAACTACTCTATCAACCATACAAACGAAATGTATAGAGATCACTTCTTAATCTTATCAACTTCACTTCAAGAAACAAAAACAATCCTCCTTTAGCTAGAAGGAATACTTCACTTCTCAGTGATTAATATATTAGCATCGCAACTAAACATACCTTATTCTCATGTCTGATCCAGCAGTCAGTAGAAGTGGGTTGCCATCAGCAGGGCTGCAGTATATGCCATGCACACTATGAGGGGATGGCTGTGAGAGAGGAAATACAGTTTAGTTAGAGAAACTGAATAGTTTTGCTTATAGTCATCAATGAGAAATGACTGCATTTGTTGAAATGAGAGGTGATTACATGCCTGCATCTCTGAAAGTGGAGGTGCAGAACTAGCCCACAGAGTGAACTTCCTGTCTCCTGTCTCCATGTCCCACATGGACACCTCATTGTTTCCTTGAACGGCTGAGAAACACAGTTAAGGAATAAGTATTACATACAGTGCTGTAAAAAAGTATTTGCCCCCTTTCCAACTTCTTCTGTTTTTGCATATTTGTCACACTTGAATGTTTCAGATTATCAAACTACACTTAGTATTAGAAAAAGATAACCCAAGTAAACATTCCTTTTTGTGAATGATGATTTCATTTATTAAAGGACAAATGCTGTTCAGCCCTACCTGGTACTATGTGAAAAAGTAATTACCCCCTTAGCTACTAATTGCCTCTCTTAACTAAATTCAATTGGGTTCAATTTCACTAGCCACACCCAGGCATGATTACTGCCAGACCTATTAAATTTAAACATCACTCAAATACAACCTATCTGGCAATGTGAAGCAGGTTAGAAGGTCTCACAAAGCAGCACATGATGCCACGTTCTAAAGAGAGTCAAATACAGATGTGAAACAAAGTCACTGAAATCAGTTTGGAAAGGCTTACAAAGCCATTGCTAAGGCTCTGGGACTCCAGTGAGCCACAGTGAGAGCCATTATCCACAAATGGAGAAAACTTAGAACAGTACACTGACGACTCACCAAGGATGTCACAAAAAAACCCAGACGAACATCTAAAGAACTGCAGGCCTCTCTTGCCACTGTTAAGGTCACTGTACACGATTTCACAATAAGAAAGACACTGGGCAAAAATGACATCCATGGGACAGCAAGGCGCAAACCACTGCTGACCAAAAAGAACACAGAGGCTCGTTTCACATTTGCCCAAAAAACATCCAAATGACTCCTAAGACTTTTGGGATAATATTCTGTGGACTGATGAGTCAAAGGTGGAACCTTCGGAAAACATGGGTCCCATTACATCTGGCGTAAAGCTATCACCGCATTCCACCATAAGAACATCATACCAACAGTCAATCATGGTGGTAGTAGTGTGATGGTCTGGGGCTGCTTTGTTTCTGCAGGACCTGGACAGCTTGTCATAACTGACGGAATTCTGCTCTCTATCAGAAAATCCTGAAGCAGAATGTTCGCCAGTCAGTTCATGACCTAAAGCACAGTTGGGTTATACAGCAGGACAATGATCCGAAGCAGACAAGCAAGTCCAACTCTGAATGGCTCAAAAGAAGCAAAAGTAAGGTTTTGGAGTAGCTGAGTTAAAGTCCTGACTTGAATCCTGTTGAGATGTTGTGGCAAGGTTTTCATGCTGGAAAAACCTCCAATGTAGCCAAACTAAAACAATTCTGCAAAGAAGATGGGCCAGAATCGCTCCACAGCAATGTAAAAGACTCATCGCAAGTTATCGCAAACATTTGCAGTTGTTACTGCTAAGGGTGGCACAACCAGTTATTAAGTTTAGGGGGCAATTACTTTTTCACTTGGGTGATACAGGGTTTTGAATAAATCTTTATCTTCAATAAATGAAATGATTATTTAAAAGCTGCATTTTGTGTTTAATCATGTTGTCTTTATCTAATATTAAAATTAGTTGGATGATCTGAATCACTTAAATGTGACAAATTAGCAAAAATAGAAGAAATTAGGCAAAGATGAGGGGCAAAAACCTTTTCACAGTACTGTACCATTGTAAAATATTTTATGTATACATATATTATTGCAAACATCAGTTAAATTCTGTTTTAATGTGCCAAGTTATTGAAAATGACTGTGCTGTTCGTGGAACAACTGTTGGCTGTTACGTTTCTAGCCTATTTTTAACAAACTGTATAGGTTGAATGAAAAAGTTTTGCCATGATTTGTTAGCATATTAAATCAGCTATTGAATATTGGTTTTACCATATTGTATTTTTTGTTATCATTTTAACTCTGCTTTGCGTCATGCTTAACAACATGCCTTAACTGTGGTAAAAACACTGTACTGCATAGTCTTTCATGGTTTATTGCGTTATTATCTAAAATCATTGTTTTCCAAAATACATACGATCAACTGAAGGATAATTACTACTTTGTATTTAACAAATTAAAGATCTCACCTGTGATGACAGATGATTGATAGAGGGGGTGCATGAGCAGACGTCTAATTCGTGCTCGAGCTGGATGGGAGTGATTGGAGATTGGCAACTGGAATCGCATATCCCAGCATGCCATTGTGCCATTGCTGGTGCCTGGAAATTAACATGTACATCAATTAAATCCCACCAACAGAATTCTGTTTTATTAATAGACAGGCAGTGAACAGCCCTCACAAAAAAAAAACTTCGACCTACACTTACCCACACACAGCCAGCACTGGTGCATATCCACTGCAAAGGAGGTGATAAGGCCCAAGCGCAGGTCATGGCGGAGGGTCCAGGCATTGCTATTGCTGCGTAGGTCCCAGCCCACCAGCGAGCCATTGACTGTCGCGTAGGCCAGCACTGACTGAGCCCCAGAGTTAAAGTGATGCATGTCCACCACACAGCCATCCTCCTTTAGGTCCAGGAACCTGCAGTGCAGAGGATGGATTAAATGGACAAAATGACTGGTAATAGAACAGAAGTTGCACAGATTCGTTTAAAACAGGAAGTGACAGATTTTTTTCCAGTGATGGTTAATGGTAGAGAATAAATGTTGGCTGTAGACTCTCATTTGATCCTTATTTTAAATTAATTACAATAATTGATAACCCATTGATTTTCACATTTCTAAGTTAAAAGAGTATATTTGCATTAAAAAAAAGTTCTTAAAAAATGTAAACAGAAAAAATGTCTATAAATATACTATATGTTCAAAACTTTGTAGTACTTCTAATTGGTGAATTCAGCTACTTTAAGGTGCACTCACTGCTGAATCAGATGTTCAAGTGCAGACACAAATCTTGTATAATCTCCACAGAAGAGCACTGTTAGCAGAATGGGCTGCTCTACGTGGCCTATGGTCATTATGCCCAATGCCGGGCGCCAGCTAGAGGGGTATAAAGCCCCCAGCATTGGGCTGTGGAGCAACGAAACTGTGTTCTATAGACTAATGAAGCTCCATCCAATACATTTCGGATAAGCTAGAGTTTGTGATCCAGAACTAATCACTGAACATCAGTACCTGACCTCACTAATGCTTAGCGGTTGAATGCAATGAAATCATCACAGCAATGCTCCAACATCTAGTATAAAGACTTCTCAGAAGAGCAGAGGCTCTTACTGCAGCAAAGGAGAACAAATTCCTATTAATAATCTTGATTTTAGAAGAAACTTTTAGAGGAAACGAGGTGTCTATAAACTTTGGACATACAGTGTATAAGCTAATACCACAAATCATACTGTCCAGTTGTTAGCGTGGAAGGTAACTTTACTTGTCTATACTTAGCATTTGTAATTACCTCTGTGCAAAGGGATAAAAATAAGGAGCAACAGTGTGTGTGATAATCTAATCTTTTCTAAACCAAATTCAAATATAAAATTGCTAAGAAAATAGCAGCTGACATTTTATGTAATAAAGAATGGAAGATGCATTAAGAGTACAGTGAATATTTGGCAGCTGATAAAGTCAGTGAATACCTGGTCTGACAAGGCTGCACCTTGGGCGATTTGGGCGGCTTGTTGGCCTCAACTGCAAGAAGCTGGATAGAGCCATTGTCTGAAGCGACAGCAAGGTAGTGTGACCCTTGACAAAATGTCAAGGTTTTCACATGACCTCCAATGCGAGAATATGTCAGCACTGACCTGAAATAAAATTTCCCCCACAGTTCTGTTAGATTTCCTCCGCAAATGTTCTTTGCAAGAACAGTGAAATAGATCAAATCAGTCACTCTTGAAGAACCGCAGGGTAGACCAACAAAGAATAATCTGAGAAAAAATCCCTAATTCCATGCAAAATAATGTTTATTTTATATTACACATTAGAAAAGCCTGTTCTATGCAGCACTGTGCAATAGTCATAGACTACCTTTCATTTATTTAATTTTAAAATGGCCATTAAATACACGTTATCCATTTTGTGCACTTTCTGCTGAAAATTACACAAAAGCCAACATTTCAGAATTTTCAGTATTAACTGTGTTCATTCATCATTTAGGAGACCTGATGTCAGTTTTTCACAGTAATCTACAAAGATATTTTTCCACACCTTCGAAGTTCTTAGAAGTTGGCAACAGCTTCTTGACAGCTATACATCCTTTCTGACCCATAGCACTGAGTTGTCTTCTCACAGTTAAAGGATGGAAAGAAGCACCCAGGGATTTTTTTTTAAAGCTTTAAATATTGTTTATCTGAGGGTGACAGCTGTGTAACATGTCTTGCATACTTGTTGGGAGTCCAATTTTCTCTGCATCTTTTAATTCATTTTGAACTCCAGTCTTGAAAACTCCTGTTTTTTCACTTATTGTCCTGTGACTTTCCCCTTCCTTATGTAAGTGGATTATGTTAAATCTAATCTCTTCAGAAACATCTCCCATGACCCATGAGGAAGAAATTTGTAAGGCAGCAAAGGTGTGTTTGAGTAGTTGCTTGTGTGAATGTTAGTGTCTCTTTGAAGGGGAACACAATGTGTGTGATATATTTGGGAAACAGTTTTGATTGGGAGGAAGCAGCTGTAACTGGTTGGTTTTATAATTGGAAGGATGTACAAAAGTAAAAAGTAGACAAATTAAACACTGATAGATTTGATATTATACTTAGTGTTGGATTCTTTAGTGTAATTTTCTGTTGAATCTGTTTCCTTCTTTTTGTCTGACACTGAAAAATAAATATCTTGTGGTTAGTGGCCGTTTCGACTGGTAATTAATTGAATGCAGAGTGGTCTCTGACTTTTGCACAATACTGTATTTCGAGGACATTTCTAGCAGATCTGATGTGAGACTTCAAATAAGTGTAATGCACCGTGTGGTCGTTGTCTTGCCCTCCATTTTCTGACTGTCCCAGATCTTCACTGTTCCGTCATTGGAGCATGTGGCAAAGATTGAGTGCTCGTCAGACACTCTGATGCGGTTCACAGCAGACTTATGCTCATGGAGATGGGCAACTAGCAGACCTTTAGGATGCCATCCTACAAATACAAAATACATCAGTGGTCCACAAACATTTACTTTGATATGAAGAGACCATTTGGTATCTGTTACTATGCATCATTGTCATAAGAAAACCTGTCAAAATGGTCAAAAACGTTATAGGAGAAGGAAAAACATGAAAAATTTTATTGTGTATAATTTTTTGACCATTTCTTATTCGGTCTGTTTCTCTAAAAATGTTCTCATTAATGATGTCTTTCCACCAGGCAGTGCAATAGAAGTGCATAGTGAGAGTACTGCATATTGAGTACCTGGGGACCCATGCTGAATTTGGTAACCCTCCTTGTTGGGGTACCAATTGTGCCAAGTGGGAACATACAACTGGAGCTAGAAATTATGCAAACCATTGCATGGACAAAAGCAATTGTCACAGAATTGTCATACAGTGTCACTGGAATCAGATGACCACCACTGGGTGGAAAAAAAAAATCACAAAAATTTAAAAATCCAATCCTCCAATCCTTCAAACAATAGCGAGCCAGAATGTTAAATGATGTGACTACACAGGTTAAAGAGAACTCTGAAACTTACATAAGTACTCCACCAGTATACAAACAGTTCTGGGTTAGGATCTGTAACTGTATCATGCTGTATAGTACTGCCTGGTGGAAAACACTATTAGCAAAAGCAAACAGTTCAAATGGTTAAAGAAAAGAAACAAAAAAGGTTACGTTTTTGTAGGACAGTGACAAATGTGTAAGAACTAGTGCATTTTCAAAGCTAGTGTTATATTTGCAGACGTTACAGGTCTTAACGGTGTTCATGGTAGTATAAACTGTTAACCTGGTAGCGGAGGCCTGCTCTCCCACTCAGCACTCTCCATCATCTGCTTGGCCATGCGTTCTGCATTGCACTGCTCTCTTTTCTGCTGCACTAGCTGCTGCAGCTCAGCCTTACATGTGGTCACGCGACGCTGGTACGTGGATGCACCACTCATTGACTGAACTACTGGAACTGTAGTGGGCACTGTGGCTTTCCTGGGCTGAGTGCCTCCCCCTTCAGGTGCCTAAAATAGAGGCAGAGCGAGAGGCCAAGATTTAGCATAGGAGGGGAATCTTCAATTTGCATTTAATCCCTTTAATCCCTTAGGCTTATTATTTAGCTGTGAATCTTTAGGGCTTATCATCCTTTTTAATCTCTATGAATTATTAAGTAATTACTATTCAAATAATATATAATGTATCTAGTTATAAGCATGATAAAAGGAAGTTTGGTACATGGAGTATAAGGGGTTTAACCTTCACTGGTTGGAGTACACAACTAGATGTACTGTTGATGCAGAAGACAAAAGAAAACAGCGGTAACACCATAACAAACCAGATATGTGTCAGATATGGGCAATTTGGCCATTGCCATCCAAATTCAATATGCATTCAATGCCCTGAAGCCCTTGGGATTAGAGCTAGTAACACTATCAACTGGACAATCACACCACCAAAGCAGAGCACATGAATGATGGTCATCAGTGAGGGGAAGCACATGTCTATGGCAGATGGAGAGAAGGCTAAAGCAGGGTTAAATGGAGAAGAAGAAAGAGTGCAGAGGGGGCTCAGAGCCAAGAGGGGGAGGCAGGGAGGGAAAGCGCGCAGTCGGCTCAGCGGTCGACCTGGGCTGAGGATGGAACATGAGGGAGGTTAAGAGTCTGGGAGGAACTCTCAGATCGCAGGTGCCCTCCGGCCAGAGTTCCGTTGGGTTCCCCACCACTGCTCGCAACTAGAACAGTAGGTACCGTCGGCGGTGCTGGAGCTGAGGTGGGCGGGTCCAGAGAACCAAACATGCTCTTCCACTCCTCGTTCAGGTTGGAGTCCTGTTTTGTGTGTTTACGGGCTGGTAAGACACAGAAACACAAAAAAAGAATATAACTTGGTGAGTGCACAATCTAGCTCACTTCTTGCAGTGGTTATCTACAGTAATTTTACAAGGAAAAATCTGTGCGAAAGTCAAAGACCACCGTTCATTTATTTAATTTCAAGTCAAAACAGCCATTAGGTGCAAGTTATTAAATCTCAGGAGGTGCTTGTGAGGAGATTACATATAATCTATAATCTAAATATACTTTTATTTAATTTTTAATTTTTTTTCCTGCTTTTTCAGTATGCTTTTGGAGATCTTCCTGATGCTAAAACATGAATAAGTTGTACTTAATGGCTGTTTTGACTGGAAATGAAATGAAAGTTGGGTGGTCTCTGACTTTCGCACAGTACTGTACTTTTACCATATAAAATCTAAAACTCATTTTAAAACACTGATATATCGCTATAATGCTGAAATGGCAGATACTGACGAAAAGAGATTCTAAAGGTCCCATTTTTATACAATATAGCTACACAAATATATTTGTACATGCAGTCAGGTCCATATATATTTGGACACTGATAAAGTTTTGCTCATAACTCAAAAGTTGTGAGCTCAAAGTGCAGACTGTCAGCTTTAATTTGGGGGTATTTACATCCAAATTAGGTGAATGGTGTATGAATTACAACCATTTTCATACATAGCCCCCAATTTTTAGGGGCTTAAAGGTAAAAAATTCAACTGAATTTTTTAATACTTAGTTGAGCATCACTTGCAGCCAATAACTGCATGAAGTCTGGAATCCACAAACATCACCAGACACTTGGTTTCCTCCCTGGTGCTGCTCTATCAGGCCTTTACTGTAGCTTTCTTCAGTTCCTACTTGTTCTTGGGGCATTTTTCCTTCAGTTTTGCCTCTAATAAGTAAAATTTATTGGACTGGATTGAGGTCATTGGCCATTGCAAAAACATTTTACTTCACTGCCTTAAAAACAATCTTTAGTTTCTTTGGCAGTATGCTTCGTATCTGTCTGCACTGTGATAACACTCCAGTGAGCTTTGAAGCACTGGACTAAATCCGAGTATGCTTGACAGATGAGGTGGTATGCTTTGGATCATGAGTGATTTCTTCCCCTCTCCAGACTATTAATCTTTGTCTCATCTGTCCATTACATGTTGTTCAAGAACTGTACTGGCTTTTTTAGATGGTTTTTGGTAAATCTTAATTCAGTCTTCCTGTTTATGAGACTACCAGTGGTTTATATTTTGTGGTAAACCCTCTGTATTTACTCTGGTGAAGACTTCTCTTGTTTGTTGTCTTTGACACACACACACGCCTACCTCCTGGAGTCAAACTGTTGTTAAACATTTTTTCTTTACTAGGAAAATAATTCATCTGTCAGCCACCACAGTTTTTTTTTTTTTGCAATGATGGCTTGCTTTACTGGTAGTGACAGCTCTTTGAACAGATTTGAAATGCAAATGCCAAAGTTGAAATCAACTCTAGACCTTTTGTCTGCATACTTGTAAATGAAAAAATGAGAGAATAACACACATCTGGCCATAAAACTGAGTAGCCCACGATTTAACTACTTTTGAGCTCCTAAAAATGGGGGTGCTATGTATGGTTGTACAAGTTTGTAATTACTACACCGTTCATGCTATTTGGATGCAAATCCCCTCGAATTTAAGCTGAACGTCTGAGTACTTTGAGCTCCTGTCCATTATTCAATGTGTTAAACAGCTAAAATAACAGTAACTTTGTTGACGTCCAAATATTTATGGATCTGACTGAATCTAGAAAGAATTAAAGAGATTAATACACAAAGGTAACACATTTATCTCACATTCTTGAGAATTCTGTATATGTAATGAATCCTAAAACAAAATAACAAATACTTCAACAATCTATTTGTCTTATATGAAATAACTACTATGGTTATACACTGAAACTAATCCATGTTTGTTGCACTGACCAGAGAACATATGCATCAAACGTTTCTTTAATAAAAGCACACAGTTACTATAAACAGCAACTAAAAGCAATGTTCAAAAGTGGCACATTTCAATAAGGCAGTGTAGAGCCTCTGATGGCAGAGATGAGCGTTCATCTACATTTCAGTAACTGTTGACAAAACACAGAGGGAATGAGATGGAAGATCCAACAGAAACAGGTCTAAAAGTAAACTCTTAAAAGGGTGAACTTAATGCCATAAAACAGGTGTGATGCCATCCTGAGACTCTACTACTACTACTGGCAACTACATCTACTGGACAGCGTGGCCAAGTCTACAAGTGAGTAATTAAGTTAGTCCAGTCACCCGCAGTCCAACACTCCAATAGGACACTTCCATGTGATTGCAACATACCAACTGCAAAAAGAAGGTGCTATTAGCCAATGATCACATGCACTAGTGTGCAGAATTATAACAGAATGTACTGCACACCTTTGGACTTGTGATCAGAAAAGATCATAGCACAAGTTCAGTGAGTTTTCAGTCACAACAGCAAATGTCCTCTGCATCAAAATGTGTGGAGGTTAAATGTTACTTCAAAGACAGACATGCTCATCATAAACTAAGCAATATACCAGAAACAGTAGAGGTGAAATCTGCAATCAAAAAACAAAACAAAACGAAAAGAAAAAAACATACATTACCCTAAAACACTAACATGTAACTAATGTATAACTGCATGATAGTATGACTGATTAACATGCTGCCTACCTCTCTTGTCCTCAGTCTCCTGTTTGGGTTTGATGAGGTCCACCTGTCGACCAGTGATGCCCAGCATGCTCAGGTCAATGACCCCACTCTGGGCACCGTCACTCAGGTGGGTCTGGTCAATGATGTTAGCCTTGGCTTTGTTGGACTTGAGCATGAAGTCTTTAAGAGCCAGAAGCTTGTCCTCCTCAGCTTCTGTCATCCCCTAAAACAGGAGATCCAAAGCAGAAAAGTAAGGTTTGCAATATGGCAAAAATACTACATCATAAAAACAATACAGTACTTTCTAAAAGAAAATGAAAAAATACAATATACAATATACATTTTTAAATGTTTGCAAAAAGGAACTATTTAAGTAAAAACAGGGAACAGGGAAACTCAAATAAATAGTAAAAAGCATAAACATAGGCATTATGACCACCTCCTCGTTCCATTTTATCAGCGCCGCTTACTATATAGGTGCACTTTGTAGTTCTATAATTACAGACTGTAGTCCATCTGTTCCTCTGCATACTTCGTTAGCCCCCTTTTACCTTGTTCTTCAGTGGTCAGGACCCCCATGGACCCTCACAGAGCAAGTACTATTTGTATCAGCACTGCAGTGACACTGATGTGGTGGTGGTGTGTTAGGGTGTGTTGTGCTGGTACGAGTGGATCAGAGTTTTTAAACACTGTGTCCACTCACTGTCCACTCTATTAGACACTCCTACCTTGTCAGTCCACCTTGTAGATGTAAAGTCAGAGATGACAGCTCATTTGCTGCTGCACAGTTTGTGTTGGTCATCCTCTAGTCCTTCATTAGTGGTCACAGGACGCTGTTGGCTGGATATTTTTGGTTGGTGGACTATTCTCAGTCCAGGAGTGACACTGAGTTTAAAAACTCCGGCAGCACTGCTGTGTCTGATCCACTGCAGTGCTGAGAATGATCCACCACCCAAATAGTACCTGCTCTGTGAGGGTCCACGGGGGTCCTGACCACTGAAGAACAGGGTAAAAGGGGGCTAACAAAGTATGCAGAGAAACAGATGGACTACAGTCTGTAATTGTAGAACTACAAAGTGCACCTATATAGTAAGTGGAGCTGATAAAATGGACAATGAGCGTAGAAACAAGGAGGTGGTCATGTTATGCCTGATCGGTATAAATACATGTACTACACATTGGTTGTTTCTGTTTACAAGCTCTCTATAAATCTGTCTGACAACAGCTATGATATACTCAGAAAACCTACAGTGTTGTAATTTATCACAATGACCATAATGTATCATCATATTGCCCACTCTTCCATGATAGTTGTGCAGACAATGCTTAATCATGAAGAACCACACCAAAATCAAAAGCTGCAGTTTCAGTGTCTATCTATCAGTATATCTGTCCTTTTTCTATCTCTAGGATTCTTGTATATTTGTGTTTTTGTCTGTGTATGTTAAGTAGCTGGTGTAGTTACAGGCTATTTGCATCTCTCACTCATTCTGTCCTTCCGTTTGCACGGCTGCTTATTCTTCTTTATCCTGTTGTTATGATTATTATTATGATTTACTTAGATTCATTTTCTCTTCTCCCCGTCCCTTAAATTTACACAGAGCTCAGATTCATTTGGGCTCAAACTGATGAAAAATATTATAGAAGGGGAGACAGAGACGTGGTCCGAAGCTACTGTGCTTGTAGGACAGAATGAGTGAGACATCAAATAGGCTATAACCATGAATGACTACTTAACATAGACACAACAGATTAAAAAATACAATCCGAGAAAAAAAAAGGACAGATATATAGATACTGAAAAAACAGAACGGCATGGCAGATCGTAAAAAAAAAATGCTGCAAATACGAAAATTATATATCACAGATGACTTATAGCAAGAACAGTAGTGTATAAAAATATGAGCCACTAATTTGGCTAACTAGTGAAGTAACTGAATGTGTTGTATGCAACTCACAACATGCAACAAGTTGCGTAAAAATTTCACCATGTAAAGTCAGCCTAAGACACTGTACGTCTTCTCACCATGGAGTGCTACACTGTTAGTTTCCTAGAATTATCTTACAAAATACAAACATAGCATACAATCAATCTGTTTTCTCCTATTCTCACAATTCTCACATGTTTGAGAAGGACACAGAGGATTTCTCTCTGACCTGGGAGAGAAGTTTCTTGAGCAGTTGCGCAATGGCAGGATCTTCAGGAATGGGGCACTCTGGGATGGAGCCACTGCGTTTCTTCTGACGGAGCAGCAGATGCCTGAAGAGGCTGCTAATGTCTTTGGAGCGGAGCACATAGTCAAAGATGGAGCGACTGACCGGCTCTTTGAGCACACTCAGCAACACTATCTCCTTATCAATCTGTCAGAGAGGAAAGGAAACCAAATATTACTAAGGATATACAATAATTAGTTTCGACCAAACAATTTAGGTTGATATTCATGAAGATCTCCTTAGTTAGAGGTGTCCGAGCCAACTGCCATGTATTTATGATTGTCGTTGTCACAGAAACCGACTCTAGATCAGCACTACTACTAGCCTCACAGGGCAAGATGTGGTCTGGCAATGAGACCACCTGGGACAGCCATGAAAAATTCTGGGCTTAATGTAGATTGGAACACAGATTTATTAGGGTGTGAAATTTCTAAACCAATCCAATGGCTCGTAAATGAGGAGCTCAAACTAGGCGGTGATGGTACACTTCTCAACACTGCTCCATAGCTCCAAGCTATACTCTAAAACAAATTTGCCAGTGCTACTAGCTGTGCTAGCTTACATGCTAGTGACATTTGCTTCCATTTTAGCTCAAATTAATTTGTGGAGGAATTAATGTTTTAACAATAGCAATATTAAATGTGTGTCATGGGCTCATTTAGCTTTTATTCACTTTGCAAATTGTTGTGTAAAAGCAACAAAACACTCTTACCTATGACTTCTGCCTGTGACCAAATCACTTCCATGATTTTATTTCTAATCACAGACCACTCTAATTTATATTAATAACTGTCACTACTGAAACATATTTTCTGCAAATAAGTACACTTTTTTATGTTTTAATGAAAAATACTATGATTTTATGTGTGTATAGCTGTTCAAAGCTGTTTTTGCTCGTCATATACTGGCAAGTGTTTTTGAGTTATGCTCAAAACTAGCTAAAATTGTCACAGTAGTGTTATGATTGTTGTGGTAGTGAAAAAATGCTCAGTCATTTACTTAAATAAACACCGTTAAGGTGTAGCATCACTCAAAGCTAAAGAATTTTAGTCTAAAGTCAAAATCAGTTAAAAATCCAAAATGTGCTTTTGAGTTTGAACCAATTCGGTAGATTGACCCATACAACTAAATGACTTCACATAAACAGTGAATTTAAATTACGCAGCTTAATTTCCACATATGGACTGGGATACCTGAGGATTTAAGATTTTGTGGGGGGGAGGATTCTGATGCAGTCTCACCTGTATAATAGGCTGGGTAATGAAAGGGTTGAGGTGGGGCATGAGCTTGCAGTAAACATCTGCAATGTTTAGGTGCTGTGCAACTACAGTAATAAATCCTACAGCCCCATAACGGATCCACAGATTGGGATGGCACAAGAAAGGAGCTGGCAAGACAACAAAGATGAATATGGTAGACAGTTTTAAAAATGTGGTGAATCATTACTTTCATGAATTGCCCTTCTTACCTACAATTTATCACAAGTTATGCTGATACATTTGTGCATAACTATGAGTGTAATTTATAAGCAATGAAAATTTGAATACTATGAACATAGACATGCTCTCTCTCACCAATGTCACTGACAAACTCATAGATGTGTGGTTTCTGCAGCAATCCCAACTGGCACATGCAAGTCAGAGCGTTGAGGGCTTTATAAATGACAAACTCCTCCACGTCACTGAGGCCCTGCTGTAGCAATGGCTTCAGGATGGATGAGCTCTGCCACCCCACATAAGCTGCTACCCCTGCAAAAAAGGAAAAAAGGTCAACTTTGTGTCCAAGAGCAAAAAGAAAGTTTACTTAGTGTTTTGTGTTTTGTGTCAATAAGGCAAAGAAATAGAACTTACCCACAATACTGTCAAAGAAGGCTCCACGGAGGTGCCAGTCGTTTTTGTCATTAAGGAAGGTGATCATGTGGGAAAGGAGCACGTCATTGGCCTTCTGTCTACCAAAGAACACGCAGAGACGTGTGATGCCGTTCTCCATCAGCGTTTGTTTCACAATGTTCTCGGGGTCACTGAGGAGCGTCACCACCTTCTGTTGAACCATTTCATGCAGTGCCTGCAGTTCTGTGAAGAGATGACAGACCACAAGAATGAAGTTATAATAAAATGAATATACAGAATGCCACATACTTTGTCAGATTTGGCAGATAACTTGCCAAAACTATTGTAAATAGATGACAGTACAGCCTGAACAGCATTTTACACTTTCTGAATACTAGTTGGTATCTCTGAGTACTAAACACTCATTCTAAAAATCACCCTTGAAAACAATAATATTTGCATTTCTTAATTAACCCTCTTTTAAAGCTTGTTCATTACTGCAATTCAAACTACATCCAGTAAGTAGCAACAGTGGATTAAGAGTCAGGCTAAAGCCCCTCTGCAAGCTCAATGTGTGCTGCTGTGGGAAAAATCACAAGTGTAACCCTCCCGTTCAAATATAGTCTCTTTTATCACTCGTATAGCGTTTGTCATGTATTTAGTATGTAATCAATTACAATTTCATTTTATTTCTCATCATCACAGTTTAAGCTGTAATTTTACTTGTAGTTTATTAGTTTAGTTACTGTTATTTATGTATTGAGTCATTTTATTTGGCTAGTTTGGTGTTTTTTACAATGGGAAATATATAATATAATAAAATACCAACTTGTCCAAAATTAACTGATTTATCAGTCCAAAATGTGTTTTACTTTGGATAAACGTTCCATACTGTGCGGTTCTCATGCTGTACTGTGCTTATATTGCAAGACCATATCCTTCTCCTGTTTAATCTTAAAGCTCTATTTCTTTACATATAGCATAGTACACATGCAACATAAAAAAAAAACTTTGCAAAGAAACTTTTTTTTGCCTGCACTAATCAGTACTTTGATTAAATGTTTACTCCCCACTCATCCATTTTTTCATGGATGAGTGAGAAATAATAGTGCAGGCCTTGTGGAACTTTGTTCTGATTTATATCAGCAACATGAGTGGGTGATTCCAGCATGTCAGATTAAAGCACCATACATATTTGGGAAATGATGCCCAAACCCAACCAAACCTGAGCAGTCAGGTTCCCTCGGGTCCAGACAAAAAATTTCAAGCTCTGATAAGTACTGCTATACTATATTATGTACTATTTGAGACAATTCATCAAACTTGTCATGCCTCCATGGTATACTGCACATTTTGCACTGAGCACTTCTGTGATTGTTTGATCATTTTAAGTACACCTATGATTCCTTAAGCATATTTGCTCTTCTAGCTCAAATGGCTGTGAAAAGCGTAAAAAAAGATGATACTAAATAGAGAACCGAACACCAGCGTGACAAACGAATACTTGAGTATTCAAATGATTCAAGCCAGCCCTAAATTACTTGTTGCTCACGAAATACTTGATATATTAAAAAAATGTAAAAATACTTTACACTTTTCATCATCTAGTGTACAATAGTTAAATTAATATAAGTTGTTACTGCATATAAAATGACAAAAAACAATAATATAGCAATTGTTTTGTACTGTTTGAGTGGTTGTTGAACGGTACTGTATGTGTAAATTACGTAAATGTCCGTTACTTGAAATTTACACAGAACTTGGAAATGGCTGCTAAATTGTCGGGTACCTGAGTCATAGTTTTCATTGGGATGAAGAGTTTCCTCAGCATCTTCTCCATTTAGGTCCTGTTCAGAATTCAAGTTATTCTCCTGCACCAGCTCCAGAAAACGCAGAGCTGTCTCAGCCAGGTGGGCAATATTTTCTAATGTACAAATAATACCAATTTGATTAAACAGTATGAAGATAATTGCTCATTGATACATTTATTAGTTTCAGTAGTTTAAGCATTGCATTTAATTTTCTATATTAGCTCTCTATTACCTGCATAAGCAAGCCTGACAATAGTTGCCTCATCTTGGGCCAAATGTGCAATGCCAGGCAGGATGTATTCTGGGTAGATGTTAACATCATTGCGGGGCACCTCTTTGACAAGTGCCAGAACTTTAGCTAGTGTGCGCACAGCCTCAGCCCTGACACGAGGCACTGAGTCGTTGCAGAAGTGCAGTAAGTAAGGAGTGATTCGGTCCAGCAGTATTTCCACACTCAGCCGGCTGGCCAGGTGGAGAACCAACTCCAGCGCCGCCAGCTTAGAATCACAGGAGCGCAGCGTCTGCAGGCAGGAGGTGATCACTGACACTAGCACCACCAGCCCATGTTCTTTAGTCGATCCAAGCTCCTGAGACGCCTTCTCTTGCTTCTCAGCCTTCCCTGCTTCCCTTCCTCCTCCACCACACAGGTTATGAAGGATATTATCCAGGTCCTTCCGAATCACTAACACTCGCTCATCTGCAGACTGGAAGGTCTCTTTGGCAAACTGGGCCATATATGGTTGAAGGAATGTGTAGAAGATATCTGGGAAGGCCTTTCCTCGCTGCTGTTTCAAGTAATCTTCTGCTGTCAGACGTTTTTCAGGTTCTCGCTGCACCATCTGGGCAACCTATGGATATTATGACACATATTGAATCTTGAGAATGTTGACAGGGTAGCAAACGGTTAAAGTGCTGCATTAACCTTTTGCCATAGGCATAAGCCATAAGACATGCCTGTGCATTAAAAAACTGAATAATGTGTAAATAAACAAATTCAAATACCAGTTCTCTGATACTTCGGTCCTCAATTTTCATCAAAACCTGTTCAGTTTGAAAATGTCCCTTGCGATAGGCCAGCAACTGTGAGAGATCAAAAAGCGGGACCCCCTCTGTGAACAGTTCAGCGATTACACAGCCTGAAAAACCAAAACACTGTTAGAAAATCCTTACATAGCTTCATACGGGTTTAGAAAAAAAGGACAAGTGAAAAGGACTAAATTAGTGAATGTAATTTATACCAGCTGAGAAAATGTCCATAGGTTGTTTGAGTTCTCCTCTGGTCCTCTGACTATTGCTTGTTAGGTCCACAAGTGGAGTGGTCTGGTCACTCTCTGTGGTAAACATACTGCCATCTACAAATCTCTCTGGTGCTATGTAGCATGTTCTCCTTCGAGATGTATCAAAGAAGTAGTTGAAGTCTGCTGGATTGTCCTCAGGCAGGTATGTGGGTTTAAAACTAGCAAAGTCTGTAAGCAGCACCCAGTTCCAGCTCGTCACCATAATATTCTCCGTCTTGATGTCACCGTGACGCACGCCTGATTTATGGGCCTGGTCCACAGCATTAAGGATCTGGAACGCGATCCATTTCTTCTCCACATTGTTGAGAAACGGTCGTGTGCTGATGCGATCGTACAGGTTGTCCCGAACATACTGCCGAAAGAGAATGGCTGCCTTCTCTGTGAGCGTGGCCTTCTGAAAGGGCAAACAGTTCTGGCAAGAGTGTAGCCTGATCTTCAGTTCCTCTAGCTCTTGCTTGTAGCTGGTTAGAGGCAATGACGGATCCTGAATGGCAAAGACCTTCACCACCACTAAACCCTCTCTGTGTTTCGCTCTGGCTACCTTGAAAAATCTGGTGCTGCCAAGACTTTTGTCATATTCATAATCATGGATGTCTGAGAAATAACTGTCAACAGACAGTATCTGTGAAGGAGCGATTCCAGCCAGCTGATTTCCCATATTTTTTCTGCTTTATCTGAAGATTTCTCCAGAAACAAATCCTATTTTTAAGATGAAAAAATATAATTAGAAATCTGTCATGATTTGAGAGCAATATTCCAAATGCTTGTTTAAAAATGTACAGATCAATGTGCAGCTGCAGCTTCCAAGAAACAGACAACAGGAATATGAAATGCAAAATGCTGTCTCACTGCATCTCAGTGGCTTGTACATCCCTAAAAAAAGAGGCTCCTTAAGGCTTCTTGTAGGCAATGGTTATATATAGAACTCTGACAACTAAAAATAACCATCTGAATTCTCTGTGATGTAAAACCTGTTGTATGTAGTTGTTTTAATAACACTTTGTTTCTATATAGCAGTGGTTCTCAAACAGTTCCTCAGGGACCCCCAGATGGTCCACATTTTTTCTTCAATCCATGTATATTGCAAATTGGGCATCTGGGGGTCCCTGAGGACTGGTTTGGGAACCACTGCTAAGAGTGTTTGGCTTCCTAGTTTTCTGAGTTTGTAGGCAGGTAGAGAGGAAGGCTGAATGATTTGGGGAAAAACTTTACTCGTGATTATTCTGACTAATATTGTGACTGTGATTTGAATTGCAATTATTTTCTATAAATTAAGGTTCAGGCCTGTTTTTTTTTTTTCTTTTTTGCCAAAATGACCAGAATACCCACTTTTTCTGGCTTGAGGCTTGACCCCTAAATGTAGTGTGCCAGACCACCAGTAAGTTGTGGTTGTGATGTCACAGCACCTGGAAATTTGGTTGTCTCTGACTGGTTTAATTTCTCTACAGGCGGTTCACAAGCTCTGTGTTATTAGGTTAAATTTCCCCATAATAATGCAGGCTATGGCGAACAAATCACAGTGCTTCTGCTATTTGAAAACTGCGCTCTTTTAAACTGCAACTTCAACATAAAAAGGATTCATCTTTCAGCTCTAGTAGAGCTCGGGGGGTATTTCATATGACAGGTTGTCCTTGATCTCTCCAGATTTGACTTTTGGCTTAAGTTATCCGGCTAACTGAAAAATCCTGCTTTTGAGAAATCTGACCTAAAGCTACCCTCTGACAGTAGTTATCTGATTAAAGTCAATATGATGCCTAGCTTTAAAATATAAACAGAGAACCTGGGGGAATTTCATGAATCAGGTCTGTTAGCCAAAAGTCAGGATATCCCTTTGGATAGTATTCACTTTATGCTTAGTCAGCCTGCTGAGAAATCCTGTTTTGCAAAACATGGCCCTGCTCCTGACATCTCCCTCATACCTGGGGCACAACGACAAACACTAACGTTAAAGTCTAATGAAAACAGACACAGATTAATAACCTACGTGTCTATCTGCATTTTCATTAACTGTTACTCTCTTAGCAGAAATTTTCTGTTGACATTTGTCTTCATTCAACGTATTTGTGTAAAACATTTACTGGGGAAAAACATGGATATTTATATTATTGCTGTTCTCAGTGCGCATTTGTCACCTCCTACAGAAGCCCTACTTACCGATGATGGCTCAGTGTTGTTTACCTGCTATTTACTTCCCGGTCGGCAAGATTAGTTTCATGACGGCGGTGCTTTTCTCACCTCGAAAGCATAAACAACCAGTCAAGCGGCTGCACCGCTTTATATCAATAACAGTAACTGACATAAACATCAAATTACACCGCAGCTTCACAACCCAGACTGCAGAAACACAGGACGGCGTTTGTTGTTGAACCGAAATTGAGACTCGTCATTCGCGGCGCCGCTGACTGATTCGGGGTCGTCCCCACGCGCGGCCCGGAGCTCCTGATTGGCTACAAAGTGGACAAAAACTGATCCAGGACCTGCGGAACGGAGCGGAGCACGGTAGGATTCTTCTTCCGGTTTACGCGGCCTCTGCTTCATCAGAGTCATGGTCAGCTAGCAGAGCTCGGCGGGCCGTTTGTGTTTTTTTGTCTTTCTCCCGCTCAGAATCAAAAATGTGTGCAGCGTTTTCTTCAGAAGGAGCCCAGGATCGTTTACGGAGTTTGGAGGAGCTGACAGAGTTTACAGAAAGCTGTCGGGCGCAGCTGACAGAGGTGTTTAATGCGCTGGGATGGGAGCCGGACTGGGAGACAAATCCACAGGTAACTTAGCGAGCCTAGCTAACTGTCGCTAACGGCAACAGGAGCTGGGCTACTCTGGAGAAGTCCGCTTCACAGTCGAAAATGCAACATTTGACGCCTGATTTCTTTAATTCCCATTTTAAACCTACAAGAATTTTCTCCTCAAGATCAGTATGAAGCTGAAAATAAGCATCTAGCTTTTAGCTAAGTACCTCGATGTTGTTAAATTAGCTGGTTTGCCAAAATTGGCGCAGTGTTGTTCATAAGACCGGGAAAATCGATAAACCGGGAAAATATTTCGATATATATATCGGTATTTTCATTATTTAATACCAGTTTTATTTATATAAACACATTCAGTGCAGTTATCATGTCAATCTGAGGGTGGCGACAAAGTCCAAAGCTGCGTCCACAACATAGCATATTAGCTAGCTAGCGTACTAAATAGTAACGTTATGTCAAAACTAGTAGCTACACCATCATTACAAGTCCAGTCATTAGTGTAGTGTGCAGTTTTGGACGCAGGCCAAGACTTTTTCACACCGAGTCCGCATTTAACAGGCATAGATAAAAACACGTCAGAACAAAAGGCCGGTTTGCTGGTTCGTTCGCTCATCTCAGCGCTCGGAGAACCCGCTCAGGTTTACTGAGCCGAAAATTCTCCACAAGAGGCGCCATCAGTACTCAAACAGCCACTGACGCTTGGTGGGAGTCGTGCTTTGCATCAGTGACACTGTGGTTCTGTTCAAAGTAGCCTGGAGCTCATGTGGCCTAAACTAGTGAGTAGTGTGCAGTTTGGGAACAATGTTAATTTCTCCAGAACGCCAAAGATAACTGGAAGCCATACTACTTATATTCCAGTTTTCAGCCAGAGCTGTCTTCGTAATGTGCTGCATCCAAAATGTAGTTTTTTAGCAGGATGTAATGCTGCTTTCAAGTGATCTCGGTTTTATCCACGAGTTTCCCACTAAAGGCACCATATGAACACCACTAAAAGTCGGATGATAACATCGGGTGTCAAAATTTTCGATGCAGCCCGAATTGGCTGGGCTGTGACTGCAGATGTAGCAAAGTACAGTATCCGTGTAGTCTACATGGTATCTTTAAAACATGTTAATTTTATTACTTCTGAAGTTTTAAAGTAGATATATGAAAACTTTTATCAAGCTTTCTGAAACAATTTGTGCGTCTTCATTGTCCATGAAGCAAACATAATTTTTAATCGCTCTTTCTGACTTTCACTACCATTTAAAATGATCTGTTAGGTGTTAGATTTTGACACATTATTGTAGACCTATGTGTTTCTTCGGTCAAAATTTCAGCCTTCAGTTGAAAACCTGTAGAGCCACTTTTAATTATTTATGGCCAAAAATTGTTCGTAAACCTAATTTTGATGCCTCCCTAATGTATACCAATGTTTCCCAGCCCTGGTCCTGAGGTCCTTCTGAAAATTGTAGTACTTTCCATGCTTTAACACACCTGTTTCATCTAGTTAAGAGGGTTTTAATTGGTTCATTAGTTGGTCCAGTTGTGTTAGCGTGGGGAAAACACTAAAATGTGCAGGGCAGATGGCCTCCAGGACCAGGGTTGAGAGATACTGCTGCAATATTATTATGAGAAGTAGCATGCAGTAGTGTATGCTGGTTCAGTATTAAGTATGCAGTATATAATATACAGTAAGCTGTTGTGGACATAGTCAGTGTGTCCTTTTAGGCAGAATGAGCTGTTAGTGTCTGCAACTTGGCACTGGCTAAAAGAAAAATGATAACCAGCACTTCAGGACTTTAAATGTTTTCTTATTCCCTTTTGAAGCAGGAGAAGATGGATGTGTGTTGTTACGACACAAATCACACAGTTCCCAGTAGGAGTATGGAGAAACACAAAGCAACATGCCAGCTCTTCCAGTTAGGATACTCCAAAGAGGATCAGGTAAAAGAGTATACAGTATAATAAATGCCCAGTATAATTATTACTGCTAATCCCTATCCAAGATCAAGTACATAGATAGGGCTAGTATATTGTTGCCTTTCTGTAAGATTTGATATAAGCCTGTTACTAACATCACTAACACTAACATCAGTGTTGTGATGTAAGAGGCTGCTGGCTGTGTTATGCGTTTGATGACTTAATTTTCCCTCATCCTGAATGTAGAAACTTGCGCTTTGCCCCTTTTTGTGACTGATGCACATGAAAGGGAAGATACAAACTGAGAGCTGTTCAGCTGTTACAGACAGACCAAGTTAAATTGCTTAGCGAATAGTTAATCTGGATCATGTTTTAAGGTGTCGAACAGCAGAAAGTCTCCACTTCAGAAAGTACTTTAATTTTCCGCAGTTACCTCAAATGAGAACAACACAGGTAAAGTGATGCTATACTATAGACAGTCTAAAGTATTATTCAGACAGGATTAGTTTTACATGAGGTGGGGTAATGTAAATATACCACAGGATGTAATATGTCTGTTTATGACCAGTACAGAGATGTTTTTATAAATTACAGAGATGGGAGTGGCTACTTGATTTATGTACTGCCTTCATTCATAAAAGTGTTTAAAAAAACTATTAAAACATGTAATTTAATTAATTTTGCTTTCCCTCCTGACTGTCTGCCAGGCTATCTTAAGTTAATACAAAGTGAGCATTGTCTGTGTGTGTGTTTGTTTGTTTGTTTGTTTGTTTGCTTAATTTTTTATTTATTTTTGTCATTTTACATGTTAAAATTCGCAGTTGTACACTTGAGGTAGGACAGTACATATTGGCTTGATTTGAGCCACAAAGAACGCATGTAAATGCTTCTTTGTTTGCCTCCGTGCCTAAGAAAAACTGAATTCCTTTTCCATGGGACACAATAGAATATTTACAGATATTATAATTTGCACAGGATTAATATAACGTAGGGCTATTTCCACAGTGCGTTTTATAGGAGGTAAAAGGTGCCAAAATCAAAAAACAGGATTTCATATCCATGATTGAGCTGAATGTGAGTGATTTAGGAAGCTGGAGGTTACATTCAACAGTTGTTTGATGTGTAATGTTCCAAAAAATTGAACCTTATTTTCACTCTTTCACACTTTTTAAATCTTCACTCTTTGTTCACATCTGTTTAAAGTCTTGTACAAGCACAGCGTAGTCCACCTATCACACTCCGTTTCAAAAACCTGTGCTTATTGCTTGTCCTTAGGCAGAGATGTGCGAGCCATCATTCTGCTATGAGAGGGCAAACATTCCCAACATAAAACTGGGTGAGTTGAACTCAAAGAGAGGACAGGTCTGCTATTTCACTCATGTAATGGGTGTATGAGGTGGGACCAAGTGTATCCATTGCATTTTTGTTAGATTTGATAGTTATGTGTACCATCAGAAAATAATGACTACAAAAATTTGTGTCTGTCATTTATTTTCTAATAACATATGTCTTCTAACAGATAAACATGAACAACAGCAGGTAATCCTGCAGGCCCGGGTGAGGGCGCCTCCTGTTCCATCTACAGGATTCTACTGCCAGAGTAAGCTCTTAAACCAAGGCTATCCTAACCTAACTTTACGCAGACCGCCCACATTTTTGGGGCTCTTTTTTTGTGCTGATCACAACTGTGATTATTTGGACAAATTTCAGTACATTTTTTAAATTGCCAGTGGGGTCAGGGTTCATTTGTTACTGACTTTTTAACCTTTCTTTATAAAAAAGATATCAGCATGTGTTTTATTTACAGCCAAATCCTGTGACCAAGAATTTGTCCGCTGAAAAGTCTTTTGTTTCATTTACGTCAATACTGTCATTATTTATTTGTGTTCTGTATTTTTTCTAGTAACAGGGGTGAGTATTAGAGGATGTCTGGTCAAGACATATTTCCACTCATACTTGCTGTATCCTTTTAAAAATATCCTTTTAAATGGTCTTTTTACGCCTTTTGAAATGAGTAGTATTGCATCTTTTACATGTGGAAGAATGTACATACAGATGCATTACAGAATCTAAAGACTTTTTGTAACATGATGACTTGGGTCTCCCATTACATGTTGGGAAGATCCATGTCATTTATGTGTTCAATTTTATTTTATGAACCTTTAGTTTGTATGTTTCTCATTTGATATTGATAAACATCTCTGAGAAGTTGTGAATAATATATTTGATCTCTGTTTGTATAAAACGTTTTAGGTGATTACTCCACCGAGCCTGCAGATGTGCCTCAGAACCACAAGCGAGCAGTTTGTGACCTCACAGTTGCTGACCGATTGGCTTTGTATGATCATGTTATTCAAAAGGCCATCCAGCAGAGAGCAAACGCACAGTCGTCCAGCAATGAGGATCTTTACGTAGATCTTGTCTCTAAGCTTAACAAAGGTAAATATTCGTTAAAGCAACAGAATACAAACGGGTGCATTTTAACAAATGACTGTTGCTCACTGTATTCATGATGTATTTATTCATGATAACACGTCTTTAAGTGTTCTGTCGCCTTTCTACAACAGTCTTTTAAGTTAAAGAAAGAAGTAAAGCAAAAAAGCCCCTAGCATTGTTTTAAACACACGTTTATATTATTGGCAAATTCTTCTGCCAAAAAAGTACAAACTTCACTTCCAAATAAGTTGGCACATATGAAATGCAAATAAAAACAGAAAGCATTGATTTGTAAATCCACTTTGTATCTGTGTTT